CACTGGGTGCGCCAGGAGCCACAGGGCACCCGTGACTGCCCCGAGTGCCGCCGCACCTTCCCCGAGCCCACCCTGGCCCCCAGCCTCAAGCTGGCCAACATCGTGGAGCGCTACAGCGCCTTCCCCCTGGATGCCATCCTGGGGGCCCAGCGCAGCCCCTTCCCCTGCAAGGACCACGAGAAGGTGAAACTCTTCTGCCTCACTGACCGTGCTGTCGTTTGCTTCTTCTGCGACGAACCGGCGGTGCACGAGCAGCACCAGGTCACCAACGTGGATGATGCTTTTGAGGAGCTGCAGGTGGGTCATGGAGTGTGATCCGTGCGGGATTCCCTGCCCCAAGTGGCTCTTGCGTCCGGCTGGTCCCTCTCACCTTGGTGTTAGTGTCTGTCCCTCTGTCCCTGCGCTTCCCCAGCCTCTGTGGGTCAGTCCGTGGCTTTGTCCTGTCCGTCTGTCCCTGCACCCCTCCTCTGTCCCCACTGGGGACAGTCCTGTGACTTACTCCTGTCTGTCTGTCTGTCCCTGCACCCCTCCAGTCCCCATCGGGGTCAGCCCTGTGCCTGTCTTCTGTCCATCTGTCTCTCACCCCTCCTGTCCCCATCAGGGTCAGCCCTGTGCCTTCCTCCCACCCCTCCATAGTTTCATACCATGTGAGGGGGTTGGAATGGAGCTTAGAGATCACCCAGCCCCAACCCCCTGCCCTGGGCAGGGACACCTCCCACCAGAGCAGGTTGCTCAAGGCTTTAGCCAACCTGGCTGGGAACACTGCCAGGGTTGGGGCAGCCAAAGCCTCCCTGGGCAAGCTGTGCCAGTGTCTCACCACCCTCGCAGGGAAAACATCTGCCTAATATCTAATCTGAATTTCCCTCTTTCATCTATCCATCTATCCACCCATCCCTCCCTCCACACTCCTGCTGCTGTTTCCCTGAGATTTCCCTTCTCCATCCCCACTGTGAGTCCCTGGGGACCCCCAAACCAGCCCCCTGTGCCCCCATGGATGTGCCGAGCTGTCCCCCACGTAGGACCCCCCAAGCTGTTACCTGTCCCCTGGGAGGACCCCGGTGCTGCAGGGACCATCCGTGCCTCACCCATCCCACAGGTTGTATCCCCACGGTGGGTTGAGGTGGAAAAGCTGCCTGGGGGTTCCCTGTTTTCCCTAAATCCCTGTTTGATGGCTTCCCCCCCATGTCCTGCAGCGGGAGCTGAGGGAGCAGTTGCAGGGGCTGCAGGAGAGCGAGCGTGGCCACACCGAGGCCCTGCACCTCCTCCGGCGGCAGCTGGCTGAGACCAAGGTATGTGCTGGCACGCTGGGGACCCCCTGCCCGCCCCAACCCCTCTTGGCGCCCCTGAGTCAGGATTGGGGGCAACCCCCCAACCCTGACCCTCACCAGTGTGGTTTTGGAACCTCCAAAGCCTACAATTTCATGGATCTGCCCCATTTTTCCCTCTCTCCGGTACTCCAACCCCCTCCATGGGGGTGCTCATCCCTCTGTAATTCCCTTCAGTGCTGCTTGGATTTATCTTTTTAATTGACTTAATTAATTATCTCCTCACTCAGGGGTTCAGCTTCCAGCGAGGTTCAGTTTGCTCTGTGTCCCCACCAGTGACAGGGTTGAATTTGTTTAGGTTTTAGGAGTTACTTTCTTCTAGTTCCGTTTTTTTTTTTTAGTTGTTTTCTAGGGTGTTTCTAGGTTTTTTTTTTAGAGTTTATGAGAAGGTTTTAGAGTTATTTTAGGACCCTCTTAGAGGTTCTTCAAGGAGTTTTAGAGGTCTTTAAGGGGTTTTCCTAGGGTTCTTCAAGGTTTTTCTGGGAGTTCCTTTTGGGTTGTCTTTTGGGTTGTCTTGGGTTGTCTTTTGGGTTGTCTTTTGGGTAGTCTTTAGGTTGTCTCAGGGTTCTTTAAGGTTGTTTTTTTAGTGTTCTAGGTTTTGCTGGGAGGTTCTTTTGGGTTGTCCTTTAGGTTGTCTTTTAGATTGTCTCGGGGTTCTTGAAGATTGTTTTTTTAAGGGTTCTTTTAGATTTGTCTGGGAGTTTCTTTTAGGGTGTCTTTTAGGGTTCTTTAAGGTGGTTTTTTTAGGGTTCTAGTTTTTTCTGGGAGTTTGTTTTAGGGTTCTTTAAGGGTTTTTTTAAGGTTCTAGGTGTTTCTTTCTAGTTTTTGAGTTTGTTTTAGGGTTCTTTAAGGGTTTTTTTAAGGTTCTAGGTGTTTCTTTTAGGTGTCTTTTGGGGTTCTTTAAGGTGTTTTAGGGTTCTAGGTTTTTTTGGGGAGTTTATTTTAGGGTTTTCGGATTCTAGGTTTTTTTGGCGTTTCTTTTAGGGTTCTTTAAGGGTTTTTCTTAAGGTTCTAGGTTTTTCTGGGAGTTTCTGTTTTAGGGTTCTTTAAGGGTTTTTTTAAGGTTCTAGGTGTTTCTTTTAGGTGTCTTTTGGGGTTCTTTAAGGTGTTTTAGGGTTCTAGGTTTTTTTGGGGAGTTTATTTTAGGGTTTTCGGATTCTAGGTTTTTTTGGCGTTTCTTTTAGGGTTCTTTAAGGGTTTTTCTTAAGGTTCTAGGTTTTTCTGGGAGTTTCTTTTAGGGTGTCTTTGGGGGCTCTTTTGGGGCTGCAGTGTCAAATCAGTCCTCAGACCCTCCAGAACTCTTTGAGCTAATGCATCTGTCAGGGTTTATTTGGCCATTACTGAGTTCCTGGAGCTCTCAGGAGAGGTTTGGATGTTCCTAACTCCCCCTGCACCCCCAGTCCTCAGCCAAGAGCCTGCGGGTGACGATCGGGGAGGCGTTCGAGCGGCTGCACCGGCTGCTGCGCGAGCGGCAGAAGGCGATGCTGGAGGAGCTGGAGGCCGACACGGCGCGGACGCTCAGTGACATCGAGCACAAGATCCAGCGCTACAGCCAGCAGCTCCGCAAGGTCCAGGAGGGCACCCAGATCCTGCAGGAACGCCTGGCTGAGGCCGATAAACACGTCTTCCTGGCCGGAGTGGCCTCCCTGTCCGAGAGGTGGGTGGTGGTGGGGTGACGCGGGGTCCCTGGTGTCACCTCCCCCTCGCCATCGTCTGTGCTCCACAGGCTCAAGGGGAAGATCCACGAGACCAACCTGACGTACGAGGACTTCCCCACCTCCAAGTACATGGGCCCACTGCAGTACACCATCTGGAAGTCCCTCTTCCAGGACATCCATCCCGGTGAGGGCACGGCGGGGGAGTGGGTGAGCAGTGAGGGGCACACCAGTGAAGGATGGGGGATGTCACAAGTGAGGGACAGGGACACATCAGTGAGGGATGGAGGTAGAGACATCTGCAAGATACGGGGACTGGGATACACTGGTCGAGGGGAGAACACCCTGGCAAGGGACAAGGACAGGGACATCACTGGTGAGGGATGAGGACACACCGGTAAGGGATGGGGACATCACCAACAAGGGGTAGGGACGTACCAGTGAGTGATGAGGATGGAGGCATCACCAGTGAGGGATGGGGACAGGGACACTATCGTTGAGGAATGGGGACACATTGGTGAGGGATTGGGACATTGGTGAGGGAAGGGACACGGACACACTGATGAGGGATGGGAATGGCAATGGGAACATCACCCGTGAGGGAGAGGGAAGTCATTGGCAAGGGACAGGGGCATCACCACCAAGGGATGGGGACTTCACTGCTGAGGGACAAGGGACATAGCAGTGAGGGATGGGGACACACTTGTGAGAGACAGGGTCATCACTGGCAAGGATCGAGGATGGGGATGTCACCAGTGAGGGATGAGAACAGCGAGAGACACGCTGGTGAGGAATAAGGATGAGAACACACCAGTGAGGGGTGGGGACAGGACATATTGGTGAGGGATGAGGGTTGAGGACACACTGGTGAGAGATGGGGACACACTGGTGAGGGATGGAGACGGGGACACACTGGTGAGGAATGAGGATGAGGACACACCAGTGAGAGATGGGGACACGCTGGTGAGGGATGGAGACAGGGACACACTGGTGAGGAATGAGGATGAGGACACACCAGTGAAAGATGGGGACAGGACATATTGGTGAGGGATGAGGGTTGAGGACACACCAGTGAGAGATGGGGACACGCTGGTGAGGGATGGAGACAGGGACACACTGGTGAGGAATGAGGATGAGGACACACCAGTGAGGGATGGGGCAGGGACTTAGTGCTGAGGGATGGGGATGGGAATGGGGACACTGGTGAGGGGTGGAGACAGGGTCATGCTGGTGAGGGATGAGGCTTGGGGACACAATGGTGAACGCTGGTGAGGGTTGGGGGGACAATGGTGAGGGATGGAGACAGGGACACACCGGTGAGGGTTGGGACACCCCAGTGAGGGTTGGGGAAGGGTCACACTGGTGGGGGATGAGGGTTGGGGACACACCAGTGAGGGATGGGCACAGGGACACACCTCCTGCCCACAGCAGTTTGCAGGCCGTGAGGGCAGAGCATCCCACGCTGCTCAGGGCTGCACTAACCTGTGTCCCCCGTCCCTGTGGCAGTGCCAGCCGCGCTGACGCTGGACCCCGGCACGGCTCACCACCGCCTCATCCTCTCAGACGACTGCACCATCGTGGCCTACGGCAACCTGCACCCGCAGCCGCTGCAGGACTCGCCGCGGCGCTTCGACGTGGAGGTGTCGGTGCTGGGCGCGGAGGCCTTCGGCGCGGGGGTGCACTACTGGGAGGTGGTGGTGTCGGAAAAGACGCAGTGGGTGATCGGGCTGGCGCACGAGGCCGTGACGCGCAAGGGCAGCATTCAGATCCAGCCCAGCCGCGGCTTCTACTGCATCGTCATGCACGACGGCAACCAGTACAGCGCCTGCACCGAGCCCTGGACGCGGCTCAACGTCAAGGGCAAGCTGGAGAAGGTGGGAGTCTTCCTGGACTATGACAAGGGGCTCCTCATCTTCTACAACGCTGACGACATGTCCTGGCTCTACACCTTCCGGGAGAGGTTTCCCGGGAAGCTGTGCTCCTATTTCAGTCCCGGGCAGAGTCACGCCAACGGGAAGAACGTCCAACCGCTGCGCATCAACACTGTTCGGATCTAAGGGGGGTCGGGGGGTTCCCCTGCCCCGACGGGTCTTGTCCTGCTCC